CTAGGAAGTCCATTGAACAAACGGGCTCAGAGAGGCTAATACAGTTGTCCAAGGAAACACAGCTGAGGGGGTGGCAGGCAGAGCTAGAATTTCATTGCTGGCTGCCGATCCCAGACTGTTAACCACTGACCAGTCCCATATTGTTCCGTCATCATGTGGTGGTGGCCCCAAGGCAGGACACCAGGATGAGCCCAGAGTCCCTGGTGGGCACTTGGAGCACAGAGGGACTGGCCAGCAGGTGAGGCCTCCTCCCAGGAACCGTGAGCCGCGGTTCATGGTCCACAACAGATATGTTACTCTGCTTGGGCCATGGGGCTGCCATAACAAAGCACCGGAGGGGGAGGTTTGAACAACAGGAATCTATTTTCCCACAGTTCTGGGGTCTGGAAGTTGGAGTTCAGGCCTCAGCAGGGCGATGCCCCCTCTGAAGTCCAGGGAAGGCCTGTTCCCGGCGTCACTCCCGTCTTCTGCTGGTCCTGTGGCTCATGGCACCATAACTCCTGTCCTCACATGGCTCTGTGTCTGAACTTCTCGTTTTTGTAAGGACATCAGTCCTATTGCCTTAGGGGCCACGCTTCTCCAGTGTGACCTCATCTTACCTCAGTACCCCGGCAATGACCCTGCTCCCAAATCAGGTCTCATCATGAGGCGCTGGGGGTTAGCACTTCAACACAAAACTGAACCGGTAACATGGCTTAGACTAAAACCTGGCACCGAGGAACCACCGAGTGACAGGTGTCCCTACCGCTGTGGTGATGACATTGTCGTCGTCATGTCCTCTCCACCATGTTCTGAGCCCCGTTCATTTCATGGCATAGGGTCATGTCATCGGCATCCTCAGTGCCCCGTCTGCCATTTAAGCCTCTGGTCTTGACCCACCTGTCCCCACCTGGAATGCCCCACCAAGGACCCCACCACAGACCACACCTTCCAGCTTCCCAGATGCCCCCTGGAGCTGCCCTTGCTCAGACCTGTCATGATGGCATCAACTAGTTGCTGTTCTGTTATGGGGGCTTCTGTGTAACAGGTGTGAGGTGATATCTCACTGGGGTTTTAAGTTGCAGCTCTCTCATAATTAGTGATGTTGAGTATTTTTTCATATGTCTATGGCCCTTTGTATGTCCTCTTTGGAGGAGTGTCTATTCAGGCCCTGTTGCCATTGTTTAAGTGGATTGTTTGTCTTTCTGCTGAAGAGCCCCATAGTTTATTTGTCCCTCTGAGGATCATCCAGGGCACTTAGGCATTGAATGGTCAGGCCCTTCAGAGCTCCACACCTTGTTGACATCACGTCAGGTGCATCCCATGTGCCTTCCTTGATCCTGTAGGTCCTTCTGGCATCTCCCAACCTCTGTGAGGAGGGCCCTGTGGTGAGTGGCATGCGCTTCCTGTTACAGGGGTCGGTGGCGTTCAGGGATGTGATTGTGGACTTCACCCCGGAGGAGTGGCAGCAGCTGAAGCCTGCGCAGAAGGACCTGTACAGGGACGTGATGATGGAGACCTACTGGAACCTGGTCTCGCTGGGTAAGGGGGCAGCTTCACCATGTTACTCACCATCTGCCTGTCACTTCAGGATGACACAGAAATAGAAAAGATGTTCAGATCTGACTCCGTCGGTCATTCAAATTACTTGAGGCTAAAAGTAAAGTTGATAGGTGATGAAGTGGGGAAGAGTATTTACTGTATGCATAACAGTCAGAGGATTATAAATATATAAAGAGCTCTTAGGAACAAATGAGAAAAAGCCAGAATGAATGATAGAGAAGTGGATGTAGCTTGTCAGTGTGCAATTCACAGATGTAGAAATGCACGGAGTTACACTTTACAGAAGAGATATAAACCTTACTAATAGTGAAAGAATTACCAGTTGAGTCACAGAAATACAATTTTTGCCCATGGGGTACACAGAGATGAAAAAGAATACCATCCCTGGCCCTGTGCGGCTCATTTGGCTGGAGCGTTGTCCGTATACCAAAAAGTTGCAAGTTTGATCCCCAGTTGGAAGCAACTGGAATAATGGAAGCAATGATCCATTTTTCTCTCTCTCTTTAATGTTTCTCTCTTTCTCTGTCTCCTCGCTGCTTCCTCCTCACCCAGTTCCTCTAAGCATATCCTTGGGTGAAGTATTAAAAATAAAAAGAGTAACATCATCCTGTATTATGTGGGTGCAGGGAAAGGGACTCTTCATTTTAGGAGCATGAAGTTGGGTCAACTCATTTGGAAGGCACTTTGGTGTTATCCACCAAATTTCAAACGGTTCCATTTCTAGAATATAACCTTTCAAATTTTTCCTCTAAGTGTACAGATTTTTTCAAAGGAAGAAAAATCAAAAGAAATGCCCCAGATGCTCACCTACGAGACTGACCAGATAAGCAGGGTGTAGCAATGTGGTGGGAACCACAGCGCTCTTTTAAGATGAGCCCTTTTTGTAGGCACTGACACAGAGAGCTGTCCCTGGATCTTATTGATCGGGAAAAACCCTAACTTTCAGAATTAGTGTACCATCCCATTTCATTAACAGCTCTTTTGGAGGTTTAACTGACCTACAATTAACTTCCCATAGTTAAAGTGAACAATTTGATGCATTTTGACATCTGTATCCACCAGGGAAATCATCGTCGTCATGCAGGCACATCCATTATACCAGAAAGTTTTCCCTTCTTTTCCCCCACCCTCTATCATGCATGACTACGGTGGTTTAGTTTGCCTCTTCTAGAATTTTATATATATAGAATCATAGGGTAGGTACTTTCTTTTCTTTTATCTGACTCCTTACACTAAACATCATTTCTCTGATGTTCACCTGTGTCATCCTTATGTATCGATATCTTCCTTTTATCTTTTTCTTTTTAAATCCTCACCCAAGGATATGTTATTGATTTGAGAGAGAGAGAGAGAGAGAATGAGAAAGATCAATCAGTTGCCTCCCATACAGGCCCTGACTTGGAATTGAACCCACAATGTCCTTTCTGTCGAGAATGGTTGGGTCATACATAGGCACATATTAAAACTTTCAGAATCTGCCAAACTTTTTTCCAAAGCTGTTGTCTTGTTTTTTGCCGGCATGCACTGGGAATTTCATTGCTTTGTGTGCTCCTCAGAACTGAACATGCTCGGTCTTTCTTATTACAACCATTCTTGTTGGTGTGCAGTCTTCGCACAACCCAGCTCGAAGTACTAGACGTGGGAGCGTGGGAAGGGATTGGGTCTCATCCCCAGGGTACTGAGAAGGTGCTGGAGGGTTTGGTCTGGCTCTGAGGTCCTCTTCCTGTTGAGTGGACCGTGGATGGTAGACAGCGGGGAAGGCTGCTGCATCAGCAGCGGTGGCCGTGCGTTGGTCTGGGCCAGTTCAAGCTGCTCTCCTGTGCGGCGGCAGTTGTTAGCAGTTGTTAGCAGTCTGGATGGTGGGAAGGAGGAGGGGAGTCAAGGATGGCTGCTAAATCTCTTTTTTTAATTATAAAAAAATGTATTTCATTTTTTAAAAAATATTTTTAGAGTGTCGGGGAGGGAGAAAGAGAGTGAGAGAAACATTAATATGCAAGAGAAGCATCGATGGATTCCCTGTTGCACGCCCCCAACTGGGGACCTGACCCACAGTCAGGCATGTGCCCGGACAAGAAATTGAACCTGCAGCCTTTTGGTCCACAGGCTGGTGCCCAGTAGGTCTCGGATTATTCCTTAGCAGAGCTCAGAGAAGGGGTATCCGAGTGTGGTTTAGATGTCAGCATGGAGGAGAGACACGGATCCGGCCACCCAATACTCAGGGGAGAGGTCTCAAGCTCAGATGTTGTGGGGCCAGTGGGGGCTTAAATGGGGGAAAGGGGACAGCTACTTACCACTCCAGCTTTCTTTCTTGCCAGTGAGGAAAGAAGGCTCCGCATGGGCAGATCTTCACTTTTTTAATTAGATTTTTGTGTAAGATTTCACATTATAAATGTTGTCCCTGGCTGGTGCGGCTCAGTGGATGGAGCACCAGACTGTGAACCAAAGGGCTGCGGTTTGATTTCCAGTCAGGAAACATGCCTGGGTTGGGGGCCAGGCCCCCATTAGGGGGCACTCAAGGAGCAACCATGCATTGATGTTTCCCTCTCTTTCTCCCTCCCTTCCCCTCTCTAAAAATAAATAAATTAAACAAACAAACAAAAATGTTGGGAGGCACACTGATGTCTATATGCAGAGTCCAGAACTCAGGACAACTCATAGGTGGAAATAGGGATTGAACAACCCCTGGGACACACACAGGAGGGGACTGAAGCAGCTGTGGTCAGCAGGGAGGGGAGAGTGTGCAAAGAGGAGGGCGAGGAGTCGGCCACCAGGGCCAGGCCGCTCCTGGGCAGCACAGGAAGGTGGGAGCTTGGCTGAGGGGTGCGGATACAGAGAACAACCAGCACATCCATGAGAGTCAGCTCCTGCTTTATCGTTTCTAATTACAGTCAATGGTTTGAGAAGCACAGTGGCTGGGGGCATGTAGGTTGAGGCCTGGAAGTGAGTAGCTGGATGCAGGAATCCTCACTGGATTTGCAGGGGCCTTTGATTGGCTCCTCCCTGCCTGCCTTCCTCCTCTTCTTCAGGGTCTGTCCACCCAGCTCTGAGCTCCCTGGCCACCTTTGCACCCACTCCCAAAGGGACCTTTCTCGGTCTCAGCTCACCTCCCTACAGCACATTGTCTCAGCTCACTGCTTCCTGTTTCCCTGTGCACCGACAGTTTGCCTCCTGCTCTCAGGCTGTGCCTTTGTCTTGGGAAGATCCTCCCTCTCAGCGTGGTTAACTGCACGTGTGTCCTCATCTTCTTCCCCCTCCCCTCAGACCTGGAGACTAGACATGACGGGAAAGAACCCGACCCACAGGAGGATGACTGGGGAGACAGACCATCCGTTGCTGTGGTGGCTGAAGGACCTATGAGGAATGGTGACTGGGGTGGCCCCTGTGAAGGAGCCGGGACACAGAATGACTGGGTGCGATGGAGACAGGGGAGCCCAGGAACCCGGCTGGGGCCATCGGACATGACCCTCGTGTTAGCCACTGAAAGTCGTGAAATTAAGGCATCTGTCTGCCAAAGCCCCATGCCGGCCACACTGAGATCGGAAGGACCGAGAGGCGCGGAGGCCTGCCTGTTCAGCGTGCGTAGGAATAACTCAGGTACTTCAGGCCTTGGCGCTCCCTCCAAACTCAGCACAGAGAAGAAGTCCTACAGTTGCCAGGACTGCTGTAAGGCTTCCGGCTGTAGCTCGTCCCAGAAGGAGCAGCAACAAATCCACGGCAGGGGGAAGCCCTTCTCCTGCACGTCGTGTGGGAAGCCATTCAATCGGTGGTCGTATATCACCATCCACCAGTGTGTGCACATTGGGGAGAGGCCATACATGTGCCAAGACTGTGGCAAGGCCTTCAGTGAGAACAGGAGCTTCATCGCGCACCGGAGGATGCACACAGGGGAGAAGCCATATCCATGTGGGGTCTGTGGAATGGCCTTCACCTCCAGCAAGTACCTCGCCAAGCACCAAAGCACGCACAGCAGGGAGAAGCTGTATGCTTATGGTGTCTGTGGAAAGGCTTTCAACCAGAAATGGAAACTCAGCCTGCACCAGAGGACACACACCGGAGAGAAGCCTTACCTGTGCAAGCAGTGCAGCAAGGCCTTCACCCGGAATAGGAGCCTCATGGTGCATCAGAGGACGCACACCAAGCAGAAGCCGTACCTGTGCGGAGAGTGCGGCAAAACCTTCAGTGAGAACAGGAGCCTCATTTTGCACCAGAGGACGCATACCGGGGAGAAGCCATACAAGTGCAGTGAGTGCGGCAGGGCCTTCACCAGGAACGAGTACCTTATCACACACCAGAGGACACACACTGGGGAAAAACCATACGCGTGCAAGGACTGTGGCAAGGCCTTCAGAATGAACGGGAATCTTATAGTGCATCAGAGGACACACACTGGGAAGAAGCCATACGCATGCAGGGACTGTGGCAGGGCCTTCATGAGGAACGAGTATCTCATTGCACACCAGAGGACGCACACTGGGGAGAAGCCATACACATGTGGTCAGTGCGACAAGACCTTCAGGCAAAACTCCTCGCTCTGGAGGCACAGCCTTGTGCACACCAGGGAGTAGCCCTTTCAGTGCCTCACGCCAGAAGTGCTTCATGGGATGCTTAACCCTGCAGGATTAACCAAACTGACCACACATTAGAGAAGCCCTATAAGCACACCGAGTGCAGCAAAACCTAGGTCAGGAACATCATCCTCCCTGTCCACCAGAGGACTGACATGGGAGAAAAGCTCTACATGTGGGGCAAGTGCAGGAAAACCTTCTGCAGGAACTTCAACCTCATGCCACACTGGAGGAGAATGCACATGTGGAAGAGGGCAGGGAATCCCAGAATCCATACCCAACTGGAAGGTCTGAGCCCATGGGCAAGTGTGAGACTTGACAGTTGGATCCCACAGGTAGGCCTGCCCAGACAGGTTGTAGGAAGGCGGGTTCTGGGGACAGACCATGCCATGCTTCCCATTTGCTTCTGTAGCATCTGCATGGTCATATGGAAAGGAAGTCCCCCTACCGGTCTGGTATCTGGGAGTGTGACCAGGGGCACTGTGGCTGCAGACCGAGCTCAAGTAAAGTGCCCTATGAGCTTGGACAAGGCATTTAATGTCTCTGGGTCTCCATCTCCTCAATAGTAAAGTGGAGGATTAAGAGGAGGAAGGAACAGGGGGAGGTGAGCTCCATGGGGACATTGTCACTTTGTCACACATGCCTGAGTGTCGTCTAGAGAGCAGGGTGTCCCCGTCTGTGTGTTGGCTCGTTTTCTCCACACCCAGTCCCGAGTTTCTCTGCAACACCAACTGGAGAGCCTCATGATCATAATCTGTAGAAATTACCAGGGGGGTCACGAGGAAAAAAAATATTTTTTGTCAGGATTAGGATGTAATCGTAGTCTCTTCATATACCAAAGTTTCTCATAGTGGTCTTCTAAAAAAATTTTTTTTAATAAAACTTTTAATTATGTGAGACTAACATCATTTTAAACAGTCGTCAGATTCCAGGCTTGGGAATGGTCACACCATGTCTCAGGCTTATTATCAAAACAGGTTTCCTTGTCTCCCATGACATGGAGAAATACTACCAGGAAGTTACATCTGTCCATCTCCCTACCATCACCTATTCCCATCAGCAGCATCAGGAGGTTCAGTGATTTCCCATCTCCTTTATCATGGGTGCTCATTTACCCAATAAACATCCCCCATGGCATGAAATATCATCAGGGGAATTTTCCTTTGGCCCAAGTTTCTTAAAGAGCTGTCTAGAAGGGAATGTGTCCTTACAGATGATCACCTGCTTTCCAGAGGGGCTGAGAGGGGCAAGAAGTGGAGGAGAAGGAGAGGCAAGTATAGGCTGGCATGTTTTTTACTGGTGAATTCTGTGTGGCACAGGGACGTTCATATGACATGTGAGTGTGGTCAGGAATGGGAGGGAATTGGGTCCAGAAATACCCTGAGTTATTTTCTTTCCTGCTTGGTGGGGGAGTGGCTGTGTGAAGACCTAAGAAAGTGGATGCGTAATAAATAAGACCTTGAATTTCTGCATCCTCTAATAAGCAGGCATCTCAAGAGACAAGAGGCATCAGGTGAATAGCAAGTCACTTATTCAGCAAGTATCTGAGGGCCTCCTTTGTGCCGGGTCCTGTTCCAGGCACTGGGAATCCATCAGTCAGTGAACCACAGCCCCTGGTCTCACCAAGTCCCTCCTGCTCATGTCTGAGCGAGATCACAGGTGGTGAGGTATCAAGTAAAGGGATGGGCTATTTCAGCTTTGGCACTCAGGGAGGATCTCAGAAGGTGACTGGAGCACATTCCCAGTTACTATACAAAAGACAGGTTTCAGACTGCACATTGTGGTGTCTTGGGAAGCCTGCCTCCCACTGTTGTCAACTGCATGTGTGTTGTCACCTCTTTCCCCCTCCTCTCAGTCTTGGGAGACTGGACCTGACACAAAAGAATGAGATTAATAGGAGGGCCTTTGGGAAGACAAACCCTCCCTTGGTGTGGTGGCGGAAGCACCCATGAGGAATGGTTCCCTGGGTGGTGCCTGTGAAGGAGTAGGGACGCAGGGTGACTGGGTGAGGATGCAGTAGTGGAGAACATGGACTTGTCGTAGGCGGTTGGACATGCCCCAAGCATTAGACCCTGAATATTGTGAATTTAAGGTGTTTGAACACCAAAGCCACTTGCCAACCCCTCCGAGATGGGAAAGACCGGGAGGGATGGGTACGCATCTCTTCACCATGCATGGGAAGAACGCAGGTACTTGAACGCTTATCCTCCCTCCAAAGTCTGCACAGAGATAAAGCCCTGTGAGTGCGTGGAGTGCAGCTAGCTTATTACAGCTATAACTTGTGCCTGAAGAAGCAGCAAGTTACCCACACGGGAGAAGCCCTACCTGCGTGCCACGTGCAGGACTCAGTTCACTCAGCAAGTAGTTCCTCACCACCGGCCAGCGCGCGCGTGCGCACTGGGGAGAAGCCATGTGCCTGCATGGACTGGGGCAAGGCCTTCAGGCACAGCTCCACCTCATGGAGCACTGGCGAGTGCACCACATGCAGAAGTCCTACAAGCTCAATGAGGTGGGGCCTTTGGCAAGAACTCCACTCTTGCAGCACAAGTGCGTGCACACTGGAGAGAAGCCCTGGGAATGCTCATCTTCCAGAGGTGCTTGTCCATGCAGATACGCCAGACCATCGAGAAGCCATACAGGTGTAGCCAGTGCAACAGTGCCTTCATCAGGAACTTCTCGCTCACCCTCCACTGGAGGATTCACACAAGAGGAAGGCTCTACAAGAGTGGCAAGTGTGGAAAAAACTTCATCGTGAACTTCAACCTGACGCAATGCCAGAGGAGGATGCACCTGTAGCAGGGAAGGGGAGCCTGGGAATCTGAAAGTCCACAGCTGGTGGGTGTGTCCTGAGCCCATGAGCCAGTGTTAGGAATAATATTGGGGCCCACAGGACTCAAGAGAAGTCCTGCCCTCATGTGTCTAAGGAATTTGACTGCTGGGGACAGGCCACACCATGCACATGAGGTGCTTTTGTAGCATTGGCTGTGCTGCATGGAAAGCAAGCCCCGCTACGGGTCTAGTATGTGAGAGTATGGCCAGGGCTTCTGTGGCTCCAGACCCAGATGGAGTAAACTGTCGTAGGAGCTCGGACAACATATTCAGTGTCTGGTCTCCATATCCTGGATAGTAAAGTGTAGGAGAGAAGGGAGAAAGGGGGAGCTGGGCTCCATGGTGACATAGTCACTTTGTGATGTCGCACATGACTGGACCTAGTTCAGAGGTTAGGTTGTCACCATCTGTGTGTGTCCTAGGTTTTCCCACACCTAGGCCCCAGTTTCCCTGCAACAGTAGAAGGCACCAGGTAGTTCATGAGGGGAGAATTTTTTTTTCAGCTTTCAGAAGTAACAATGATTATATCAGATGCCATAGTTACTCATAGTGGTCTGTTAATTTTTTAAAAATAAAACTTTATGGGAAACCAATGTCATTTTAAACACTCATCAGGTGCAAAAGTTTGTCCTGTCAAAAACGAATGTCGATGCTTAAGGGGAGAGGGTGTGAATACTACACAGTAACCCCAGGAACCCAGCAGACCTGCCCAAATTATAAGGTCACCTACCACTCCCAGCCCTGCATTCCTGACTTGGGAATGGTCAGACCAGGTGGCAGGGCCCAGACCTTCAGCAGCAGAGATCAGGGGACACCCCCCTCTTTCCCTGCCCCACAGAACCCCAGCCTTGTGGATCCCTGCCTTGAAGGGCTGTTACAGGGGAAAAAAAATCTTTTCTCACTTCACAGAATGTGCCCCAACCACCCCCTACCAGCTGGAATTCTTGTGAACATAAACTGCTCTCAGTCAGGCAGGGGTATTACCCAGTCTATGCCTCACTCACAGCCTCAGGCATATTTTAGTTAATATTTCATTGCTGATGATAGCGATCTACTACCAATAATAAACAGAAGATGATACAAGAATGCTGCTCTATTAATAAAATACATAAAGCATTTATTAATAAGTGGGTAATTAGTTACTACTTTTGTATAGGTCATCAATTATTTGGAATGCTTCTATGAACCTTGGTAAATGGCTGCTGACAGAGGCCCCTAAGTCCCTGCCCTGGGCCCTGTGGCTTTGCTCCCTGCTGCTCACCACCAAAACAGTGTGAGCCTGTGGTGATTAATACTTAGACTGGCTCCCGCTTCTGTACAGTTGCTAATTTACTGAAGTGCTCCAGTGGGACAGACAGAGCACAGTGTACTTACACATCTGGCCTGAAACTGGGACCTCTTGTGGCTCAGTTGGTGAAGCATTTCCCGGATATGCCAAGGTTGAGGGTTCGATCTCCAGTCAGGGTTCATGCAAGAAAAGACCAGAGTCTTTCAATGAGTGAAACAAACAAACAAAAAACCTATGTCTCTCTCTCTCAAATAAATAAAAATTTAAAAACTTGAAGCAGATTCTTCTTGTGTGGTGAACGTTACTCTTTGCTGGGTGCCACACACGCCTGCCTTCTGGGGCCCTGCTGATGGCTCAGAGGAAGGAACATCAGATCCCCTGCCCATGGTGGTGTCTGTCTCTCTGCAGAGTCTTACCCAACAAGGATTCCATGATCATGGGTGACTCACCCAACCAACAGATGGACTTGCTCCAGCTCACTCAGTTTATTTTCAATTTAATGAATTGTTCACATTAAGTCATTGGAATATTTTACATTTACAAGCATCACACTTTATTCATTTAATCCTTCAGGAAAAGTCATAGAATGTCTGGTTGCCCTGGCTGGTGTGGCTGAGTGGACTGAGCCTCGGCCTGCAAACCAAAAGATCCTGCGTTTGATTCCTGTTCTGGGCACATGCCTGGGTTGTGGGCCAAATCCCCTGTTGGAGGTGTGCATGTGGCCACCGATTGATATTTCTGTCACACATCAATGTTTCCTTCTCTTATTTTCTCATTTACCCTCTCTCTAAAATAAATAAAACCTTTAATAAAAATAGTTGTTATGTGCCAAGAATACTCCTGAGAGGTGGGGACTCAGTGGTGTATTATAAAAATACATTCCCCCATCACCCGTGGACATGAACAACAGTGTGGGGACTGGCTGTGGGAAGGGGGGCCACTCTGGGGAAGGGGCCAAAGGGGGAATAATTGGGACAACTGTAATAGCATAAACAATAAAAAATTTTTTTTAAAAAAGAAACTCCCTACCATCATGGAGACCAAATTACAGAAAGGAAAAGAGATACAAATAGAGAAAAAAATTTTTCATATAAGTTCAGATTTCTTTATAGAATTTGGAATATCAAAATCCACTGGGCCAACAGCTCCTTTTGAAAACTAGAGCAGAGCTAGAGGTCAGTGGGTCTAAGTGATCAAAAGCTCAAGTCGGACACTGAAACCTTCCTGCCCCTTAGAGAAGAGTGGAGATTATCCTCTTAGCGGAAGGGGACATGCCTGAAGTGTCTCCTGCAATATTCAGCACATTGTGGGTGTTTTATGAGTGTCTGTGTCTTGATTGATGGGGACAGCTGTGGCTTCCTTGGTGACCAGATCTTTGGGAAGATTTGGCAAAACCTAGTGAGAGGTGATTGGCATGTCTCTTTGCCCACTAAAGTGATACCAAAATAACAAACAGTGTACAATATACACAAGTGGTCATATTAGAAAGTAAGGATTTTTAAGAAGTTTTAAATTGCAGGGCTTCTTGTCATTCCAAAGTAGTACACCACTAAAATATCGTGATTTTGTTTTTATAATCCAAGTTAGCATAAAATATAGCCATATTGTATTCTTACAATTACACAATAATATCCATGTCTGATACCATCTCACCACATAAAAACTAGAACCTTGCCAACCCAAGGTAACCATCATCTTGAATTTGGTGCATCTGTGTTTGGTTTATATTGGGTGGGGGCGTTTACATTTTTTCCCCGCAGAAATGTTTTAGAAGCTCTATGTTAATTTCAGTCAGGTTGTAGCCAGACTCCACCATCCTAAAAGCCAAAGCTTCCCCTTGAAAGTGTGCAGTTTTTGCCCTCATGTGCTGTCATCCCCCGCTGCCCATGGACCAGAGCTCTTTGCTTCCAGACGACAGTAGGGCTCTTTCCAGGCGGATCTGTTCTTTGAAGAAGTCAGAGTGAGACAGCTGTGCGCTCTGCCTAGAGATTCAATAACTGACAACTCCAGCCTGTCTGACAGCACCACGGATAGGTCCCCCGGTGATGTTCAGCACCACGACCAAGTGCACGGGGAAACGGGTTCAGCACAAGGGGCAGATTTGTGGGGAAAACGTTTTACCACCGCGGACGGGTCTAATGGGGCCTGGAGTTCGGCATCACCGGCAGGTCTGCAGGGAACCGGTTCAGCACCACGGACAGATCTACATTGGGGACAGGAGGTCCGCTCGAAGGATAGGCCTTTCCCCTGGGGTTCGGTGCCTGGAGAAGTCGATCTGGGGTTTTCAGCACCGCGCACAGTGGCCAGAGCCTGCTTTCCCGGGGTCCTCTGCCCGTCGCAAGTGCTCCTCTGAGCAGTTTTCAGAGCTCACTCCCTAACCCTCACCCCAGCGTCTCCAATCGCTGGCATCTCAGGAATCCGGACTCTCCTGGAGTTAACCTCAGACACACAGGCATCAAATACTTAATGTGCCCCAAAGGGAATTCTGGATTTTTTAAAAGTTTTTATTGATTGATTGATCTTCAAGCGAGAGAGGAAGGAGGAGAGAGAGAGAAACATTGATTTGTTGTTCCACTTATTTATGCATTCAGTGGTTGATCTCGTATGGGCCTTGACTGGGGATCAAACCCTTAACTATGGTGTATCAGGACGATGCTCCAACCAAGTGAGCTACCCAACCAGGGCAGAATTCTAAATTGTCTTCATGCACGCATAATAATAATAATAATAATAATAATAATAATAATAGGTTGATCCTGCTCAGTGCACTGCAGGGCTCAGGCTCAAAGTCAAAAAGTCTTCCCTGAGTTCTCATTCCCTCTCACGTCTCATACCATCCATCAGTGAGTCCTCTCAGCTCCATCTCCAAAGTGTAGGCGGAATCTGTCCCCTGAGCTCCATCTTTCTGCCACCGCCTCATCCCAGCCACCATCATTCTCGCTTGCTTTATTGCAACATCCTTCCTCCCATTTGTACCCGCCCGCTCCCCTCGAGCAGTCTTCACACAGCAGTTTCAGCGATGCCTTGACGATGTAGGTCAGGTTCTGTCACACCCTTCCTCTGTACCCTTCCTCCGTGACTTCCCGGAGCACCCGTGATCACACTCAGAGATGTTACTGTGGCTTTCAAGACCCTGGATGCATCTCTGGCTTCATCCCCCATCCCCCCCTTTCTTGCCTGAACCCTCTGGACACACAGGCCTGGAAAAAATACTTGCTCCAGCTAAACAGGCAAAGGAGGGATAATCCAGAACATATGAAGAAAACCTACAGATCAATAAGTAACCTCTACACAAAGCAGGGAGGGTATCAACAGGGAATTCAAAGAGGAGAAGAGAAACCTAGTCAAAAGCACGGAAATTTTCCCCACCTCGCCAGGGAAATGATGATATGATTATATAAAAGGAGACCTTTCCTCCCTCATCTATGGCTTTATAAAAATAAAATAAAATTTTATGTAGCCACCTGGAGAGTGATCTGGAGGTAGTCGCTGCACTGTCAGCGTGCATAAGAAGAGCTATTAGCTATTAGAAACAGTACATAGGCATTATTTATTATTATTTATTTTTTTTTACCTTCCCAGCAATCTTGCGATGTAGTCAGTATTATTATTTCCCCTGAACAGAACGGGAGACGGAGGCCCAGGGATAAGTGACACACACCTAACGACACGCTAGCGACAAAGGGCAAAGCCAGCCTCTGATCCAAGGGTCCCTGGGGACTGCTACACCGCTGCCCAGCTCCTTCCTTCGCCCTCCCCCATCCCCGACTGGGTTGTGCGAAGTCCATGCCTTAGCAGGACAAGGACAAGGACAAGGACCTCTGTGCCCATCGGCAGGGCATGGACGGCTCATTCCACCGCGGCCGACCTCAGGCGAGCAGAACACCGCCCCGTGCACCCCGCGCCCCCCGCAAGGCCTCGCGAGCGTCGTCACTGTCGCTTCTCCGCTCCCCTCCCCCCGCAGGCGCATGCTCCCGGGGCCCGCGCTGGAGGAGGGGAGAGAGCCACCCACCCGCCTCTTCTCGCCTTCCCCCACCCCTCGCCAACCCCACCTCCCACCCCAGCCTCCGCGTCTGCGCAGCTGCGGGTCGCTGCGGCGCCAGCTCTGCAGAGCCCGGGCAGGGTCTGGTTGGGGAGGGTGAGTCCTCGCGGGGGCCCCGCGGGCGGAAGGGGGCGGGGAAATGGGGCTGGGGGCGCGGGAGACGGTGCGGGGGCTCGCACGAGCAAGTGAGTGTGTGCGCGCGCGCGGGTGCCCGGGGCGCGGGGCCAGGGCCGCCCCGGGAAGGCGGCTTCGGGGAGGGGTCTGTCGCCCACCCGGCGGGCGGAGGCTGGGTTGGGGCTGTTTCTCGGCCAAGGGCCACCGGCCGGTGGCCGGCCCCGGAGTTTCGGCCTCCTGCGAGGAGGGCAGGGGGCCCCCTGCGTCCGTGTCCGCGCGCCCTCGCGGGTCGCCGTGCGCGCTTGTGCTCAGGGCTCGTGTGGGCTCCGTGTCCGTGGGCGCCGTGTGTGTCTGGGTCCCTCCCTCCCCCCGTGGCTGGGCGCTCAGGCCTGGAGGCCGACGGGGTTCGCCGCCCCGCCCCGCCCCCATTAGCCCTGTGGCTTTGACCGAGGGCCTTCTCTGTCGTCCTGTCGGAATCATACCGCGTCTGCCGTGGAAAACCATTGTGCGCATTAGATTGGCAAAAGGACGCGGACCGCCGCGGGGGCCCCGGGACCCCTGGAGCGGGGCAGGCCCCGGGGCCGCGGGGCCGCGATGACTGTTCTTGCGGTGGCGGTCGTTGCTGCGACCGCTTCTCCGCGCTTCCTCCTCGGGGAGCATTTGTTCGCTGTTTTCGCTGGGAACGCAAGCTGGGGGTGTAAACTCCCTTGAACACGCAGCCGGGTGTGCAAGGCCAGTTTGTGGTTTCTCGGGCATTGTCGTCCGCGCTTCCAGCCTCCTCCCCCAGCCGCCCGCACCCTCCCCAACCCACGCGGGCCCCGCGCACCGGAAGCCCCGCCCCGCCCCCTGTGCTCGTGGGGTCCCAGAGGGTCTTCCTTTTCTTTGTAAATCCTCACCAGAGTATATGCTTATCGACTTGAGAGAGAGGGGAGAGAGAGGGCGAGGAACGTCGCTGTCAGAGGGAGACACGGGTCGGTCGCCTGAGCAGGAAAGGGACCTGCCCTTAACCCTTTGGTGTAAAAGTGAGCCGCCCAGCCAGCGCGAGGGTTTTCCTTTTAAATATTTGCAACAATCATTGGCATTTTAAATGCAGAAGATGTCACCTAAAAACGGATTTCCATTGTTCTTGTGAGAAATCAGAAGTCGGGACACATGGGGCCCTACATTTTCGCCAGGCAAACATTGGCCAAGCTGAACGGGGCAGCGGCTTCCGAACGGGCGCCTGGTCTCTCCTTTGCTGCAAATCCCACGGCTCCCTGTGGCCTCTCCCCGGGCCAGGCATCCTTTGCCACCGGTTCACGTTCTCCCTCTAATAGAGAAGTATTTCTATGCTTACAGCCAGGACTTTATAAAAGACCTCGCAATGATGTTGACGATTCAGCAGAATCAGGTTCAAACAACACAACAAAATTCATGCAATGTGTAATTCTAAAAGCCAGCATTTATTTACATACATCTAGATATAGATATCGATTATAGATAGATACAGACATGTGCAGCAAATCACAAGTGAAGTTACCTGAAATTTAAACAATTTGTATTTTATTGTAGTGTCCTGTCTTAGCGGGGTATAAAATAATTTAAGTACTGGGCGAGAAGTGTCCGATTCAGTCCAGGCAGAACTCAGTGAATTTGCACAAATGTCTCCATCCCCGGGACCACCACTCTGATCAAGATATAGAACATCTCCAGGCCCTGACCGGGCAGCTCAATTGGTGAAAGTGTTGTCCTGATGCTCCAGGGCTGCAGGTTCGATCCCGAGACAGGGCACATACAAGAATCAGCCCATCAATTCATAAATAAGTAGAACAACAAAGCGATCTCTCTTTCACCCTCTCTCTCTGGAATCAATTTTAAATATAAAATAGTCGTGTAGTAAACCTCCAGCCCCTCCAAAGCTCCCTGTGCCCCACCCCCCAAGCACGGCCGCTGTTCGGACTTGTGTCAACCCTGATTCATCTCGCCTGTACCAGGCTTTGATTTTAGTCAATGAAATCACACACATATATACTTCTGGGTGTCTGGTCTCTCACTCAGTCCGATGTACATATTCAGGTCTATGTGTGTTGTTGCATGTATGTCCTTGTCCTTTTTATCCTGAGCGGTACTCCATTATATGGATAAACCGTGGCTGACTTGTCCGTTCTCTGGCTGATAGACATCTGGGTTGTTAAAGATTTTTATTATGACTATGAGTCATAATGTGAGCAGTTTTGTATGATGAGTACAGCTGATGGCAGCATTTGGGGACAAGTGTTTGTGTGGACCTCGGTTTTAGGTTTCTCCTGGGTGACGATCTAGGAGCGGCACCGCAGGGTGCTGGGGTGACTGCGTGTTCCCCTTGAGGGGATTTCGCCAAGTTATTTTCCAAAGCGATCAACCAATATACACACCCAACACATGGAAACAACTTGTCTCCGTCATCAAAAAAATATGGTCATTTTTAAAAATATCTAGAAAAGCCATTCCCACGCTTTAAAAAAAATCAATGAGAATTCCTTGATGTCATAGAATACTCAGTCCATCGTCACATTTCCTTGACTGTCTTTTTAAAATTGTTTTTAAAAAATTTATGGGTTTTAGAGAAAGAGAAGAAGCAGGGGGAGAGAGATCGATTTGTTGTTCTACATACTGATGCACTCATTGGTTGATTCTTGTATGTGCTGTGACTGGGAATCAAACCTGCAACGTTGGTGTATCGGGACAATGCTCTAACCAACTGGGATACCAGGCCAGGGCCTAAATTTTATTTTTCTTTTACATCATGTTTTTTTTAAAATCAGACTCCAGACATGATCTCACAGGCATTTTTGAAGTTTAATTAATTTTATTTTTTTAAAATTCTTGTTTATTCTATTACAGTTGTTGGAAACAGGGAACAGACGCACAGGCATTTGATTCTTGAGTTGCTAACTTTTCTTTGAATCTAGATCATCGGCCTTGTGGTTTTTAAATGTGATCTAACACTTTCGTTTTGCATCAATCTAAGCAGGAAGAAAATGCTTCTGAGAGGGTTTTTTAAAAAATGTTGTTTGGTTTGTTTTTTTAACTCACCAAGAGGACTTACTTCTTTTCTTAAAAAATTACTACAGCCCTGGCCAGGTGGTCCAGCTGGTTGGAGTGTGGGCTTATGCACCAAAAGGCTGTGGGTTCAGTCCCCAGCTGGGGTGCATGCAGAAGGCACCTGATCAACGCTTCTGTCTGTCTGTCTCTTCTCTCCTTCCTCTCTCACTAATATCAATAAAAACATACTCTCAAGCGAGGATTAAAAAAAATTACTATCCATGTCCTGACCGGTGTAGCTCAGTTGATTGGGCATCGTCCCAGAAAGCGAAAGGTCCTGGGTTTGATTCCCGGTCAGGTCACATACCTGAGTTGCAGGCGTGATCTCTGGTTGGGGCCTGTGCGAGAGGCAACCGACGATGTTTCTCTCACATCAGTGTTTCGCTCCTTCTCGTTCTTCCTCCTTTCCTCTCTCTAAGAAAAATAAAAATAAAAATAAATAAATCTTTAAAAAAAATTACTATTCATGAGGACAAGCAGAGGGTTATACAACGCCAGGTCAGTAATACATACCATTCCTAGAACAAGAGCATTAAACCAAAGTCTTTACAGTGTCCGGTAAAGGGTCTCTTAATCATAAGTCATAGTTGAGAGAGCTTCTTGCAAACAGCCTCCTGGCTTTCAGCTGACAAGCAACAGAATGAGAACACCGCAGAATATTTAGTTTTAAGTTAGACTTTTTTTTTTTTTTACCTGTACCTGCAAAGGCTTCCTTTTTCACTTATGAAAACAACGCAGAAGGTCAGGGCCGCAGGCAGCCGGCGGGAAGGCGGCCCTTTTCTCTCTGCGGCCAGAGGGATTCTGTACGTGACTGGGTCCTCCTAGAAACTCCAGGCTCTATGCTTTGGGACATGGAATGAGTGTGTGTTTGTATCTCTTGACTTGTCTGCAGAAGACTTACCGTCATCATCACTTGACACGCTGTCTGTCTGTCTCTCCCCCCACCAGAATGTAAGCCCCACGAGGGCAGGGAGCTCTGTTCCTGTCGAGGCACCTTGAATTAGTGCCTGGCACTCAGTGGCACTCTGCAAGTGCTTGTTGAGTGACTAAATGTCTGTCATCCCCCAGGTTCCGAATCCCGTGCCTGGGGAACCCGGCGGGCCCCTGGGACAGAAGGACAAGTCCACCTCGGACGCATCGCCTCCTGGAGCCATGAAGAGCCTCAGGCCTGAGCAGCTGCGGGGGCTGCTGGAGCCCGAGCGGACCAAGACCCTGCTGCCCCGGGAGAGCAGGGCCTGGGACAAGCGTGCCACCTTCCTCAAAGACTGGGTGGCTGTGAAGGTTGGGGCGTCCGTCTGTGACAGCGACCAGAAAGGTGAGGGGCAGGGGCCCTGCGGGAGGTGTTAGGAAAGGGGGTGGTCGAACCCCGGAAAGGTCAGACACTCATCACGTCACTCAGGTATTCGACACACTTTTATGGAGCCTTGTAATAGTCAGCCTTTGCCGTGTAACAAGTCACCCTGAAACACAGTGGCGATAGGGGGCAGCTGGTTGAAGGGAGTGGCCTCACCTGCACGCCCGGCTGGTTTGCGGGTGCTGACTGCGGGCTCCCTGGTCCCCGCTGCCCCCTCCAGACTCATCCTCACAGGCGGTGGCCGGGCAGCGGGCGGAAACCCCAATTCACTCGTGCTCATTACACCTCTGTTGGCAGCCTGGCTGCGCAGGGACCATTGGCCAAAATAAGGAGACCCCCGCCGCCCCTCCCCGCGCCCGGCCCCGGCCATCGGCCTCAGTGAGGGAGGGCACTGCCGAGGGTGTGGACACAGGGAGCGATGGGCAAGGTGAAGGCTTTGGGGGCAAAATGCATCACAAGCACCTATTACCTGTCCGGCTCGAAGGGTCCCCCTATGAGCAAGATGGCCCTAGCGGAGCTCAGATTTGTTTAAATGTTAAAACAAAACAAAACTTCACTCGAGGGTATATTTATTGATTTAGAGAGAAAGGAAGTGGGGGGAGAGAGAGAGATCGACAGGCTGCCTCCTGTTGCCTCCCGCACACACCGACCAGGATCCGCTACCTTTTGTTGCACAGCAGGACGCTCCAACCTCCTGAGCCACCCGGCCGGCGCTGGAGCTCAGATTTTAGCGGAGAAAACAGACCATAAAACAGTTACTAAATACAAAGACAAGGTGAGGAGAGCTGTGAAGAGAGTCAAACAGGGTGGCGTCCGGAGAGCACCGCGGTCAGGGAAGGTGAGGAGAAGGACTCGGCTGCCCCCAGCGCTGGGGCGGGGGGAGCCTGGGGCAGCCCGCGCCGCGCCCACGGCGACCCGCGGGGCCGTGCAGTTTGCCCGTTGGAGGGACCGCGGTGAACGGAGCAGAGGCGGCCCAGCGCGGGCGGAGCAGGGGGCAGCCTGCAGCCCTCGGCAGGGAGTGTGCCACGTGTCTGGTACTGGAGCGTCGGGAAACCCAGGAAAAGCTTTGAAGAGGAGAAAGACAGGACCTACTTTGCATTTCCAAAAGGTTTCTCTAACTGAGGGGTTCTGAGCCGGGGGCAATGGCGCACCCCGCTGCCCTCCCTGGGGATGTGACAAAGTCAGGAAACAGTTCGGGTTGCCCTCTCTGGGAAGGTGCCACTGCCTTGGAGTGGCAGGGGGCAGGGACGCCTCCAGACATCCTGCCAGGCCAGGGCGGCCTCCCCCTACCCTGCTGGGAATGGCGATGCGCGCAGCGAGGTCGGGAAACCCTGCGCCCAGCGCCCGTGAGAATGAATCGCTGAGGAGATCAGGGGGAAGCTGGGCGGCCAGTTAGGAAACCCCTGCAAATGTCCGGGGTACAGGTGGCCAGGCCAGGCGTGGTGGTGGACGTGGGGTGCGTGGAGGGGCCTGAGCACGAGAGGCTGTGCTGGTGGATGCGGGGGGGGGGGGGAGGAGGACAAAAGAGATACCAAGGAGGAGTCCTGGAGTTCGGGCCCAAACGGGAGGCAAAGGGTGGTGCCCTTTGCTGAGATGGGGACCCTGGAAAAACCCCCCACAGCAGAATGGGGTTGGACCTTCTGCCAGGGGCGGGGTCCTTCCTTCTCCCACAGCTCGGGGCAGGCCTGGAACAGAGGCGAGGGTAATCTGGACCCTGTTCTGTGGTGAGGGGGAGGCCGCAGCTCCTAGCAGGGACCTGCAGAGGGAAAGTGGGAAATGCCCGCCTTTGGTCTGACCCCCAGTTCTCACCAGCTTACAGGTGAGGAGGACGTTGAAGCTCGAGGTGGGGAGAGCTCTGATTTTCTCTGCCCCACCTGAACCACTGGGCGTGTGTGTGTGTGTGTGTGTGTGTGTGCGCGCGCGCGCGCGCCTGCGCGCAGAAAAGGGATAGGATGTCAGGTGGAGGAGCAAGTAGAGCCCCCAGCTGGCCTGGTCACTCACGCACGACTCCTTTCTCCCCCACTCCCCCCGCCCCACCCAGACCTGTCTTCTCAGGAGACCAGGTGTCCCCAAGAGTGGAACTCAGTGGAAGAAGATGAGTCAGAGGAATCCAAGGTAAGTTGGGGCTCCCTCCTCTTCCGCAAATGCCCTGCCCTACGGATCTCAGTGAGTTGTCACGTTCCCTCCCTGCAATTTCCCTGCTCGCAAAAGTCTGTTCAGGGATGTGAGCCCCGAGATGTCACTCACAGGAAACAGAACACACTCCTGTGGCCGTCACACACGGTGTGGAGGGGCTCCATGTGGTGTGTGTAACTCGACCAATGTGCACCCTCAGCTCTTCACTCATAAATTCATCGTGATCTACCCATTCGTCCGTCTGTCCCCTCATTCACGCACCCAAACTTTCATTTGTCTACTCATCCGTATATCCATTCTATTCACCCATCCATCATCTATTCACCCACTTATCTATCCATCTCTCTGTCCATCTACCCATCTCTGCATTCACCCACCCACGCACCCACCCATCCATCCATCCGTCTACTCACCCACCCGCCACACCATCCACCCGCTATTTACCTTATCTGTCTACCCACATATCCCTCCATCTATCTGTTGACCCCCCCATTTGCTCACCTTCCCATTTATCCATCTGCCCACTGAACGTCCACTAACCGTTCAGCTGTCCTCTTCCATTCGCTGACTGATCCACGTACCCATTCTACCCAGCCATGTTTCTGGTTGTCTGTGTACCTGCTCACTCACGCAGTCGTCCATATGCAATCAATCCGTCCATTCAACCCACACCTTCACCGATCCACTCATTTACCCACCCACTCATCTACTCCGTGTTGGTCATGGGAAGGATTTGGCTGCCATTTACCCTCCTAAATGCCCACTCAGCCACCCGTCCACCCGTCCACCTCTGTTTGTCCGCCCATCCCTTTATCACCCCACCTACCAGCCCATACACTATCCCTCCATCCACCCACTATCCCTCCATCCACTCAACCATCCATCTACCCATCTATCCAACTGCCTACTGGGTTTTAATCCGAATACTATGAGTGAAACCAGACCGAATTATCAAGCACGTTCCTTTCATTTAAAGGCCTGACATTTTCTTGGGGAGGGGCACAGAAGACATTACTATGTGAAATAATAACTGTGGTTCTTTTATTTAAATATTTATCTTATACATTAGAAAAATCACATAACCAGTCTAAGCAGCACATAGGGGTCCCATCTCCCAGGTACGTGTCTGAGACCCCGCTCGGAGGGGTCTACACCAGAGATTTGTTGACTCCGTGGGAGGGGGCGGCGGGAGGCAAACCGTAAGTGCTGGTTACAGGAAGAGGACGTCCACCCTGTGGCCAGGAGGCCAGGAGGATGTCCCAGAGGGGAGGAGACAACAGACCTGGGATTTGGCGATGCGTCGGAATGTCCCAGGCAGAGCGGGGGAGGGACGCGTACACAGAGGCATGGCGGCGTCGCGTCGCAGGGCCCATCAGGGGAGAGAAGCGGGGGATGTGCGTGAAACCCTGGCCTGGGGAAGATGGCCCATTGCACCACAGCTATTCAGTGAGCCCCTGCTATGTGCCAGGCAGTGTCCAAGGCACCAAGGGTACCACAGTGAGTGGGATAGAAATGGCTCCTGCCTCCGCAGGGCTCCCGTCATGGAGGTGGACAGACAATAAGCAACTAAGTCACTGAACTTATGCCGGGTGGCAGGCAGTAAGTGCTACGGAGAAAAATAAAGCAAGAGAAGGTTCAGAAGCTGTTTTAAGAGCCATGAGTCAGCCTGTCTTCCCACCTTTATCATGGTCTCTCTTTCCATCCATCCATTCATTGGGCAAATATTTACAGAGCTCACACTCTGTGCCAGGTACTGTTCCAGGCACCGAGGAGGCAGCTGTGAGCACACCGAAGTGTTTGCCTTCACGGGGCATGGAGAAAAGAGAGAGCTGGGCATGAGAGGTGGGCAGGGCCAGCGCCTTCTGGGGGCGGGTGCTGGAGGAGGCCTGCCGTTCCAGTAGGGCAGCAAAGAGAGGGTCTTCCAAGGACTGGTGGAAACTGAGAGATAGCGATGAGGCAGACGCCGGAGGAGAGGCATTTACAGCAGAAGAAACCACAAAGGCTGAGAGTCACCGTAAGGCGTGGCCTCAGCATTAGAAGGAACAGCCTGGCCGGCCCCAGGGAGAAGAAATTGGGGTCGGGCAGGTGTCAAGACCGGAAACAAGATGATGGTGGCTTGACCAGGGCGGTGGTGGCGGGGGATGGACGCGCTCAGCTTCTGGCTACTCTTTGAAGGTAAAGCCAACAGCATTCGCTGAGGCGGGCGGGGAGAGAAAGACGCATCAAGGAGTCCAAAGGGCAGATGGGGAAGAACAGCCTGGGGAGCCGCTGGGGGTGCGAGGGATGGGTTGTAGGGTATCTGGGACATGCCCCATTTAAGGTGCCTGTCAGATAGCCAGCCAGCCAGCCAGATGGCAAGAAGACAGAGTCGTAAGATGGGAATTCAGAAGGGGGGTGGGTCAAAACACGCACACGCATTGGGGAGTCATTAGAGTCTAGACGGTGTTTAAAACAGCGAGACTTGGTATTGCTCTTGGAATTTTCATCACATCTGATCTTTCCTTCCTCTTTTGGGGCATAGGGGTCCTACGTACTTTATCTTATAATCTAGCCACTTGATTCACCCAGATGTTCAGTCTGCACGCCAGTCCCATCATCCCGTTTTCCCGCAGGCGACCGTGTGGCCCCCCTTTTTGCTCCCGTATTCACACCTTTACCCCTTCTGTTTCAGGGCGTCACGGAGTGGCCGAGGTCCCCGCAGCAAACCACCTTGCTCCTGATCGTCTGCGTGCTCTTTCTGTTCCTCGTGCTGACAGGGATGCCCATGGCATTCTACATTTAAGTCCTTCGGAAAGAGGTGCCCCGTGTCCTGGGCAGGAGGCGTCCTGGTGAAACACCAGGAGCGGGTGTCGAATCTCATCAAATGCCTTTCACATTCATCCACATGATTTTTTTTTTTTTTGTATTTAACTTTCTGGTGTGAGGTTTTGCTTTACTGTATTTCATTAAACTTAAGCCATCAGTGACTGTCAAATGTATAATTTTATACACCATGGGGAAAGAAAGAAATGCTATTTAATGGTAAGATGCCACCAACTGGGATATGCAGCATGATCACAGGGAAGGTAGTTCGAGAAATACCAATCCCTTGACATTTAGGAAGAACTCACCAGTCAACGTACCAGGTCCTAGAGCTGATGAGACGATCCGGCTAATCCTTGGACGGCTTTCTCAGTTTCTTCCCATGTTATCTTCTTATTAATCTTTTTTGATTTGCTAATTTTGATGATTTAGTCTTCTTTCATTTCCTAGAATAGTCTTCATTCCATTCAGTTTTTCAGATTATCAGCTCAGTTACGCATACTGTTTTACAGTCACACGAAATCTTATCTTCCTTTGGTTCTATGACCTTTCTTCTTTTCAACATCTGTCTGCAGCCTCCCCATCATTATTAGGTTTGCCCAAAGGTTTTTGAGTTTATAATTATTTTTCTGAAGGGCCAGTATTAGGATTTATGTGTCCATTATTTCTATAATTTTTGTTTTCCTTTAATATGCATCAGGTTTATCTTTTATTTCTATCCTTTGCCTCTGTTTCTGAGCACTTAATTAGTTTGTGTCCTCTTTTGACAACATTACTTGCTATGATTGTATACTTAGTCATACAAATGTACTTCCACCTACAGCCTTGGCCACCGTCAAGTTTGACCGTTCTTGTTCTCATCCATGTTGCCCAAATATTAGATTGTAGCATTTCTAAAGAGCGCTTTGAAACTCAGTAATTGGGTTTATTTAAAATTAGTTTTGTTTTCTTGATTTACTGCACCATAAACAGAGAATGTGGCCTATAATATATCTGCTTTCCAAACATTTTTAAAAAGCTTTTACTGTGGCCTAGAACATGCCCAACCTTTCTATGTGTTTCATAGACATTTAAGAGGAAAATTCTGTCTGTAGAATTCAAAACTCTACATGTCTGTTAATAAACTCGGTCTTATCAATCATGTTGCTCAGAGTCAGGTGTTATATAGTTTTGGCCAATCCAATCTGTCAAAAACCAATAAGGTTATGTGAGCCCTGGCCCACGTGGCTCAGTTGGTTGGAGCATCGTCCTATACACCAAAAAGTGGCAGGTTCGATTCCCGGTCAGGGCACACACCTAGGTTGTGGGTTTGATCCCGGTCACAGCACATATGGGAGGCACCCAACTGATATTTCTCTTTCTCTCTCCCTCTCTCTCCAAAATCAATAACATATTTTTTAAAAAGTTTAAAAAAAGTGATGTGCAAATCTGTTAGTACAATTATGTTTGTCAATATATTTTTATAATCTTTGCTTTATGTATTCATAAACTGTGTAATTTGATGCATATAATAAGTATAGCATTGTTATGTCTTTGCCAAATAAACATATGTACACACCATGCACAGTGCCTGGCATTTAGTAGGAACTCAATAAATGTTAGTGAAAACCTGATTCCAAGTCCTTTGTCAAATATATAATGATCACCTTTAACCAATTTAATCCTTTGCTTTAAATCCTAGCATGTCTGATAGTGGTTGACATTGCCGCCCTGATTTTTAAAATTCCTCTGTGTGTGTGTGTGTGTGTGTGTGTGTGTGTGTGTGTGCGTGCGCGCGCGCGCGCGCGCGCGGCCTGTGTGTCATCTTGTTTTGACAGGACTTCCGGTGCCTCGCCTGAGTTTGCTGGGGGGATTCAGGAGGAGTATCGGATCCTCTCTTTTCGGCCCTCTCTCGGGCTGAATGCGTTCAATAAGCCACACCTGAGGAATGAATGTCTCTACTGGTACATTCCGGAGGATTTTATTGGTTGCAAAGAGAGGAGCTCAATTCAAGTGAGCTTAAGCAAAGAGGTGAATTATTCATTCATTCCTGTGCCAAAGTTTGGGCTGAAATTGGCTTAATTTAGAGCAGGTTCCTGGGGCCTTCCCCTCCATGGACCACCTCCCCGCACCCCCCTGCACCTTCCTCTTAGGAGTGACCTCTCTCCCCTCCGCATGGCTGAGGGCGTGGCTATCAATGCCTCCGCGCTCACCTCTGCCGCGTGGCGAAGTGGGGGACTGGAGGCAGATTCCGGTCACACACACCACATCCCTGTAGCTGCTCTGCGGCAGGGACCAGAGTCTTTTTTTTTTTTTAAAGATTTTATTTATTTATATTTAGAGAGAGGGGAAGGGAGGGAGAAAGAGAGGGAGAGAAACATCAATGTGTGGTTACCTCTTGCGCGCTCCCAACTCAACCCCAGTATGTGCCCTGACTGGGAATCAAACCGGCGACCTTTCAGTTCACAGGCGGGCGCTCAGTCCACTGAGCCACACCAGCCAGGGCCCAGGGTCTTTAAATAAAGGATTAAACTCAAGGAACAGCAGCTGCAAAGGCTTGAGCCAAGAATGAGGGTAGGAGGAGCAGGTGGAGAATGGACTGCAGGTGGGAGGGACGGAAATGGGGGGCGGGGCGTGCTGAGCTCCGACGGCGCCAAGGTCCCAATAAAATGGGCGGGGTGTTGAAAATAATCATAATACTAATAGAAGTCACATGAGCTGTAGCCACTCACTTGGGCCCTATCACGTGCCAGGAATTGTCATCCTATGGAGAGTGGGCGCAGCCACCACACCCCTGAAGGTCGTTTTCCACCCAGCAGCCAGAAAGGCCCCATTAAACCATCGTTAAGACCATTCTGCCCTGGCTGGGTGGGTGAGTTGGTTGGAGTATCCTCCCTTCCACCAAAAGGTTGCAGGTTCGATTCCCAGGGAGAGCACCTAGTTAGGCTGTGGGTTCAATCCCCGATGGGGGTGCACACCAGAGGCAACTGATGGATGTTTCTCTCTCACATCTCTCACTCTCTTACCTTTCCTCTCTCTGAAATCAACAAACATATCCTCGGGTGAAGATTAAAAAATCTTCACCCACTTTGGCGGTAAAAGTCAAAGTGCTCACAGTGGCTGTCCGGACCCACCGCGCCTGCCCGGGGTGTCATCCCGCCTGTCCCCATCCCTCCACGGCAGCTTCACTGACCTCCTTGCTGCTCCCACAGCCTATCGTGCACCTGCCTCAGGACCTTTGCATCGACTGTTCCCTCTGCCCGGAATGCTCTTCCCCGAGAAGCTCACATGGCTTTGCCACGCCCTTCAGGTTTCCACTCAAATGTTGTCACCTCCTTGGAGAGCCCTTCCCTGACCTTCCGCCCTAGGTCACCACCTCCCTCTCTTTACAATTATGCGTGAGTGTGTTCTTGCCTAGGGCCCTAACAACCACTTTTCACCTGGTGGCTCTCCCTGGAGAAACTGAGTCCCAGGAAGCCTGAACAGGGGGGAGGGGGTTGTAGAGTTTGGGCTGTGCCCCCCAGTAGCTTCCCCGGACACGCCCACTAGCTGTGGGACCCCACACTGTCTGACCTCCACCCCGCGCACTAGAAGCTGCTCTGTCCCTTCCTGAGAAGGGACATGTCGGACCCAGGGTTGTGTCTGCTTGTCGCATCTGGGGAACACGGTGGAGGGGGGAATGTGTCAAATATCGCTAGTGTAAAAGCGGTGGGGAAAAAATGCCGAGTGCCATCTCCTTGCCTTCTCCGTAACCGCGTTTCGAACGCTCCGAAACAAGGATTTTGCCTAACTCCTCCACCAGGGGGCGCAGCCTCCCCCGCAGCAGGAGGGACCCAGGGCCGACTCTCTGCACACCCGCCCCCGACCGCTCGCCCTGCGGACGCAGCCCGGCGCTTGCGCACTGTGATCAGGCCGGTTTTCCTAGAAGGGGCCGGGGATCCGAGCAACGGCGCTGGCCCCGCCCTCGGCCTTTTTTTTTTTTTTTTTTTTTTTTTTTTTTTTGCTGCGGAGAGCGTTTCTCTGGTTCTCTTCACTCATTCACCCAGCATTCTCTGAGCACCTACTGTGTGCGGAGGCTGGAGCTGGGTGAGTTTGGATCAGAGGGAGGAGTCAGACTCCGGTCTATGGTCCTGAGGGAACGACAGGGCTGGTGCTGAGGATATTCACCTATTGTTCGTATATCTGACCTATCAATTCTTATTTTTTTAGAGAGAGGAGAAGGGAAGGAGGAGAGGAAGAGAAACATCAATATGAGAGAAACATCAATAGGCTGCCTTCTGTAGGTGCCCCGAGTGGGGACTGAACTCACAACCCAGGCATGCGCCCTGACCCGGAACCAAACCTGCAACCTTTTGGTTTGCGGCACGATGCCCAATCCACTGAGCCCCACGCCAGCTGGGGCCCTGCCCTGTTAATGTGCATCTCCTGAGGCCCGAGCGGAGCCGAGTCTGCGGCACAGGGAGGAAACAGCTGTGTCCTCCGCACCCCTGAATGATTGCAGGGCTGGTGCTGGGATGCACGTCTATTCATTCGGTCCCCTGGCACTTCTGGAGGACCTACTATGTCCTTAACACTAGGTGCTGGGGCCCAGGCTCCGCCACGTTTGGGGCGCAGGAAAGAATCAGGATGTCCGGTGCCCGACCCCAAGGGGATCCAGGACTGGTGCTGAGCATGCCTACCTCCTGTTCATTCACCTGGCTTGTTCAACTTCTATCTCCTGAGGACAGGGCCTACTATGTGCTGAGACCTGGCGTGGGCAAGGTCTGGGGTACAGGAACGAACAAACTACCGTATTTTACCATTTATAATGCACACCTTTTTTGTCCAAATTTTTTGACGGAAAAGTAAGGATGCGCATTATACATGGGTATATGATTACATACCATGGGTGTAATAATCCCATGTATAATGTGCACAAAAACATAGGTGTGCATTACACACAGGAGCACATCATACACGGCAAAATATGGCCTGTCAACCCCCACCCTGAATGACTCCAAGGCTGGTGCCAGGACATACAGCTGTTCGTTCAGTAACCCAGTGCGTCTTGAGAAACTACCCTGGGCTGGGCCTGCCCAGAAGATGCTAAAAGTAAGGAAAGGCATAGTCTCTCCTCCCAGGGCCTCGGCTGAACCCTTCATCCATTTATTGAACAAATGCCTACTCAGTCATGGCAACAATTACAAGGCCACCCAGAGACCCACGGGTACTTATTTGGGTCTGCTTTGGTAGGTCACGTTTATAACTGAAAGAGAGGTGGTGGGGAGAGGCGTCAGGTAGTCCAGCAGATGTAGGGCACAGTCCCAGCCCTGTGACATCCTCCCTGTGTGACCTTGGGCAAGTCACCAAGCTTCTCTGAGCCTCAGTGTCCTCACAGGCAGCGTAGGGGTGAGAGGGTGTCTCCCCTCTAGAGCCATGATGTTGGACACGAGGCGTAAACACGTCCAGCACAGTGTCTGGTCCAGGAGGCCCGGTTAACCCTCAGCTCTTATCCTCCTGGTCCTTGGAGGCTTTTCCGGGGTCACGGCTGCTAACAGGCTTCTCCCTGAGCGAGTATAGGGGTCCAGTCGGGCGTGGCGGCTGGGCAGTGCTGTCCCTGAACAGGCTGCACCGGTGGGGCTTCTTGGCGGCGCGCATCCTTTGGTGCCGGGTGAGGGCGGAGGAGAAGCCGAAGGCCCTGCCACAGCCGCCGCGCTCAAAGGGCCGCTGCCCGGTGTGCACACTATGGTGCCGGGTCAGGTAGGCGCGGTTGCGGGAGCCCTTGCCACACTGCGGACACGTGTAGGGCCGCTCCCCGGTGTGGATGCGGCGGCGCAGTGTGAGCGCAGAGCCCTGGCTGAAGGCCTTGCCACAGTCCCCGCACCGGAAGGGCTTCTCTCCCGTGTGAATCTTCTGGTGCTCGAGGACGGAGGACACGTGGCTGAAGGTGGCTCCGCACTCCAGGCACTTGGCGCCCGTGTGCACCAGGTGGTGCTGCACCAGGTGCGAGCGGTTGCTGAAGGCGCGGTCGCAGTCCCCACACGCGTAGGGCCGCTGACCCGTGTGCACATGGCGGTGCTGACTCAAGTGGGACACCTGCATGAAGGCCTCGCTGCACTGCGTGCACACAAAAGGCTTCTCACCTGTGTGGACGCGCCGGTGCTCGGCCAGTGAGGCACTCTGGCTGAAGGACGTGCCGCACTCCGCACACATGTAGGGCTTCTCGCCCGTGTGCACACGCTGGTGCTGCAGCAGGTGCGCCACCTGCGTGAAGGCCTTGGGGCACTGGCCGCAGGTGTAGGGCCGCTCGGCTGTGTATGTGCGCTGGTGGCGCAGCAGCGCCGAGGAGAAACGAAAGGCCTCGGGGCCCTGTGCGCAGGCGAATGGCTTCTCTCCTGTGTGCACGCGCTGGTGCTCTAGCAGGGCCGTGTGGCTGCGGAAGGCCTTTGCACACTGGCCACAGGAGAAGGGCCGCTCGCCCGAGTGCACGCGCCGGTGCTGCGCCAGGTGCGCAGGGCGCCTGAAGGCCTTGCCACAGTCAGGACACGCGGGCGGCCGCTCGCCTGTGTGTGCGCGCCAGTGCGCTGCCAGGTACGAGCCCTGGCTGAAGGCCTTGCCGCACTTGACGCAGGCATGCGACCGCTCGCCCGTGTGCACGCGCCGGTGCAGGGTCAGGTGCACGCGCTGGCTGAAGGAGCGCCCGCACTCCAGGCACGCAAACTGGGGTTTCTCCCCAGTGTGTGTCCTGCGGTGCAGGGTGAACGCCGAGCAGCAGCGGAAGGCCTTGCCGCAGTCCTCACACTTCCAAGGCTTCCCAGGGCCCCCAGCTGCTGCATCCGAGGGGCTCTTTCCCTGTGCACCGCGCCTCTGGGGCCCACAGGCGGCCTGGGTAACGGGACGGCTTGGTCTGGTTCCCGGGACATCACCAAAGTCATCACACTCCAGGGCACTGTCTCCGGCGGGGTCTTCCTCATGGGCCTCTGGCTTCAAACTGCCATCCTGGCTTTCCTGTCGCTCCTTGAAATGACCCTCGTGTATCCAGGCTTCTCCCAACCTGGGGCCCCAGGAGGCGGCAGTGACCAGGGGCGTATCCATCCCTGCTCCTGAGCTGCGGCCTCGATTTCACCTCTCGGCAGCAGATCTGGAAGAAATAGAGGTAAAAAAAAAAAACTAAAGAGGTTTGTCATTTGTCCGCTGCTGGGAAGGGCCCAGCACTGGGTCTCAGCCTCTGTGCTGGTGACAGTTCGGATCAGATTACTGTGGCCTAAGACGGGCCTGTGCCTTGGAGGACAGGAGCAACATCCCCCGGCTGGACACACTGGACGTCGGTAGCCCTGCTGCCACCATTCAGGTGTGACAACCAGAAAGGTCTGCAGACATTGCCGAGTATCCTCTGGGGGTACAAAACCAACCCTGGCTGAGAATTACTGACTTAATGGAACTAAAAACAATGTATTTACTTTTTTAAAAAAAACTATTTATTTCTAGAGAGGAGAAGGGAGGAAGCGAGGGAGAGACACATCAGTGTGTGGTTGCATTTCTTGCGCCCCCTGCTGGGGACCTGGCTTGCAACCCAGGCCCTGACTGGGAATTGTACCCGCGACTCTCTGGTTCACAGGCCGGCACTCAATCCACTGAGCCACACCAACCAGGGCCAAAAACAATTTTAAAAGATCCTGCAAAAAAGGTCTTCAGCTCTTAAATACAGCTTTGTACTAGGACCAAAATGTGTGTCTTCCCTCCCCCCCGCCCCCCATCCGTATGTGGAAGCTCTAACCCTTTAAGTGATGATATTCGGAAGCAGGGCCTTTGGAAGGCAATTGGGGTTAAATGAGGTCATGAGGGAGGGGCCCCCCATGATGGGATCAGTGTCCTCAGAGGAAGAGAAAGAGGCCAGAGCTGGCTCTCTACACCGTATGAGGACTCAGTGAGGAGGCGACCGTTTACAAGCTGAGAAGGGAGTCCTCACCAGAACCTGGACCATGGTAGTGCCCTGATCGCAGACTCCCCACCTCCAGAAATGTAACAAAATAAATATCTATTGTTTGAGCTGCTCTGTCCATGGCATTTTGTCACAGCAGCCTGAACTGACTTCTACACCCACAAGGACGGTTCCCTTTTTGGGAGAAAAGTCAGTCCACTGCACACACAGAGGAAGAAGTAGCCCCAACATTCCATGCACGAAATACTGCTAAGGAGAGCACGCGCTGGGAAAACCACGTTCCCTAGGAGAGCTGAAGACACACAACCCCAGTGGCCCAGTGCTTACGTTTTCTGGAATGTCGGACACACGTGGGCCAGGAGGCCGGTCGGAGATTGTCTGTATGAGCTGAACATCAGTAACAATCCACCCACCCATCAACAAGAGACTAGACAACTGAATGGGGTACGTTCACACGATGGAACAGCTCACAGCATAAATACCAGCGACCGTCAGCTAATGCACCAGCTCAGAACCTCAAATCGGGTGTTTGCAAACAAGGCAGGATGCAGAAGAACTTATCAGGTATAATACAGTTTAGGCTTCAAAACAGGCAAAATGAAAACATTCCTTTTTTAGGGATTATGTGGCAAAGGTTCACAGGTCCACTCTGGCCTGGGACCATCACCTGTGACAAATGCAGAGATCAGTCCGTTCCCACGCTTGGCCACTTACAAAAAGCCCCGGAGAGCTTGTGGGCACAGGAATGTCTGAGAGGCGTTGGTCGCGGCAGTTCTGGAGCCAGCACGGCAGTATTGCAATGGCCACAATGATGACTGGCACTCACTGGACACAGCTATGTGCCCAGCACGCTTTAAGCTCTTGCCACACATTAGCTCGTTTATTCCCCAGCGAGGCCCCAGAAGTACGCTGGGGCCACCTGGCTCCAGACCTCGTCCTCTACAATGGCCCCCGCCTGCCTGGGGAGAACTGCTCCTGTTCAACAAACACGACAGGTGTCGCTCCTGCCTCAGGGCCTTTGCACTGGCTGTTCCAGGTGCCTGGAATGCTCTTCCCGCAGCACAGGCCTCGGGGCACGTGACTTCTGAGCAGGGACCTGTAGTTGTGCTGCGCCCCCACGGGTGGTCCTCTGGCCCGTGGGAGCCCAGCTGGGTCCCCAGAGAGGGCAGCAGTACCCACCTCGAGATCTCGGGAGCATCAGGTACCATCCATGCCTCTCAGGTTGCGGACCCTGCTCTGGCCACCATATCTCAGTGGGTCCAGGTGGCATCTGTGGGAGAAAGAAACGGGGACCTACGAAGGAGGAATCCGGGGGCAGACACCGGCAGGCAGGGCAAAGATGCGGGGTGTTCAGTGTGTGTGCGGGTGAGAGGTAGGTAGATTCAGGGGGCAAACCCAGGAAGAGCACAAACAGGCAACCAACGGGGAGACACAGACACGCTCAGGGGCAGACACAGCATGTCACACACAGACACACAAGGAGCCGCATACAATCGCACCTTGGGGGGCAGTTCCGGCCCCTCACTCTGGCCGGGCACTCACACACCGCGCACAGAGGAGGCAGGCAGCCTGGCACACCGGCACGGCTCCAAGCGCACCTGCATCCTTGCACATGCGCACGTAGCTACACGCACAAGGTGACACACACAGCCCTTGCACGCAGAGTCACACACAGAGCGACGCAGGCACTCGGGCCGCGCGGGTCCACCCCGGCAGGCGCACGCGCACTGGGCCATCCTGCACAGTGGCTCATGCAGAAACACGCAGGCGGAATCACACCCCTCACGCCCAGGAGAACAAGCTGCACGCGTGCCCGAAGCCGCACGGAAGCAGAGGTCCCCACGTGCACAGACACACGCTCGTCGACGCACAGCCACCAGGGTCGGGTATGCGCGAACCCACAGTGACATGTGCGGACACACCGGTGCGCTGAGGCTGAGTAGGGTGAACAAGTTATACACTTGCACGGGCCCAAAGTTCTGGAGCGACGCAGGCGCAAACACACGGTGACTCATGCACATGCCAAGGGAGTCACGAACATAACACGGACACGCGCGCATGCACTCGCGCACGCGCACACCACATGCCCGCTTCCTCGCCCCCTGCGACCAGCTCCGAAGGTCTGCGGCGGCTGCCGCTTAGCCTGGTGGGTTCGGGTCAGGTTCCCCTCAGCCCCCGGCCCTACGAGGCCCGCGGAGGCCTCCGGTGACGCCCCTCGTCCCGGGGTGGCACGAACGTGCAGGCCGCACAAGTCAAGTCCTGGGGATGGAGCTCAAACGCCAAGTCGGTGCGGCTGCGTGTGCGCACCTGGAGAGGGCGGCCCGCGCGCGGCTCCAAAAACTACAGCTCCCAGAAGGCGCCGCGCTCCGTCTGTGCCACGCTGGGGGCTTAGCACCTGGGTCAACGAAACTACAACTCCCAGAAGGCCCTGTGTCGGAATAAAATGGGACTAGGACTTTATTAAAGTGCTTCCCATGTAGAAATTCTCTTATCCTTCATAAATTCTTTCCTCGTTCGTTAGAAAAATGGGCACAGATCATTTTTAGATACTTGGGAAAGTGGAGAAACGTGTGAACAGAGAATGGGAAGACGAATGTATCTCACCATCAGCGTGCTGTTTATTGTGAGAAGCCACATTATTTTATGTACCTCGAAGGCTGCCCATTAAACCATCGCACATTATTTGTTTGCACGTCAAATTTTAATTTTCCATGTAGACCTCAATGGCATGGTGTGTTTCCTGTCATTCTTCTGGAGTCTTCCGGTCTTACCGTGGTAAGAAGGTACCCAGGTTCTGGCCAGTGTGGCTCAGTTGGTTGAAGCATCGTTCCATACACCAAAGGTCGCAGGTTTGGTTCCCAGTCAGGGCACATACCTACGTTGTGGGTCCGGTCCCCGGTCGGGGCGCCTATGGAAGGCAACTGATTCTCTCTGATATTTTCTCCCTCTCTCCCTTCCTCTCTCTTTAAAAAAGAAAAAGAAAAAAAAATCAGTAAATATAGCCTCAGGTGAAGAAAAGAGCCTTCACAGAGATTAGACGTCCATCCACAAGCCAAGGAGACTGGCCAGGATAGTCCCCTCCCTTGCGGCCCTCACAAGGCACCAACCCCATCGTCACCTGCATTTCAGACTTTAGGCCCCAGAGCTGTGACACCATAAACCTGCGTTGTCTGAGCTGCGCAGTCTGTGGTATTGGGTTGGCCAAAAAGTCTGCTGCGTTTTTTTTCGGTAGGATGGTTCTAGTAGCACTTTGTTGTCTTAACTTCTTTTGAAACAATTTTATTAGATTGTATTGTGACAGCTGTCATATCAGCGTGCATTTAAACAAATAAAAATTGGTGAATTTTTGTGTTGTTATTTTAATATTGAAGATGGAAGAAAATACGCAACCTTTTCAGCATATTATGTTGTATTATTTCAAGAGAGGTTAAAATGCAACCAAAACGCAAAAAAGGATTTGTGCAGTATATGGAGACGGTGCTGTGACTGATCGAACGTGTCAAAAGTGGATTGCGAAATTTCTTGGTACCATTGACATGTTAGCAAAATAATCCTTTGCTGTGGGGCTGTCTTATGCATAGGAAGGTGTTTAGCAGCACCCCTGGCCTCTGCCCACTAGGAGGCAATAGCAGGAGATGGCCACATACTCAAAGTATCCAAATCAGAGTTATTGGTGAAAATGAAAAATATGACTTTTATTTTATTGGAAAAAATGTAAAGGACTTTTTGGCCAACCCAATACATTATTAAGGCAGCCCAGGCCAACTCACTCAGAGGCCATAAACAACCACCATGTTTTTTTGATTAGCTGGGAACTGGGTTCGGTTCGGTCCTTCTGGACCACGCACACCATCTGTGGTCGCTGCCGGGCCTCCTGGGGCTGGGTCACCAAACGGCTAGCCTCTGCTGAGACGCCCCCTCTGCTCCCTGGGCTCAGCCACCCTCCAACAGGCCGGCCCGGGCCTGGGCCCGTGGCTGCGGGTGGGGTTCACAGAGGGCTCATGGGACCCGCACAGCCTCTTGACTCCCAGGCTCGGTGTGCCGACCTTTCCACGTTCAGAGCGTTCCGCGGGCCGAAGGAACCTGCACGGACAGCCCAGAGTGGGAAGAAAACGCACGCGTTGCAAAGCAGGTGGGCTCAAGGAGGCGGGGA